AAGCATATCCAGAGTTGCTAGCCCTGGAAGTCTTTCGCAGGGCGATCGGAGAAAATTGCAGGTTTACAGAAAGGAAGGTCTCAACTTATCAATCCCTGACGCAGACATCAGATATGTGTGGATCTCCCAGAGGCTAACTACTTAGCTACTCTTCAGTTTATTTTTTCATCTTGTTCTATCTGCGTGTCTTCCATGAAGCATTTTACGAGACCTTGTAGCTGTTTACGCGTATGTAGATTACAACTCGCTCTGTAGCCTTACTCGGGATCTAAAATTATCTCCTGAGAGCAAACCTAGTCAACTTGACTTGATCTCCCGTCACATCCTCCCATTCTTCCTCTTCGTCCTCCACCGAACTCAGCGGCACAACTCCTGCCCACCCGCCTCTCGACAGATCTAGCATCATTGCACACGACGAATCTTCAGACCAACAAATGTCCGTCAGTAAGATGTTCCCAATATCGCCACCTCTACCGCTTCTCTTCAGCTCTTCGATCACTACATCCCGGCGAACATAGACGTGCTTCGTCAAATTCCTCAAGACCATGCCTCTTAGGTTGACATATTCTGTGGATTCTATCTCTTTGTAGCGCCAGTCCGAGAGCCTGTATAAAGTCTTGCTTGGATCGTCCGCATCAGACGAGTCTTCGTCTTCGTCCGAGTAGTATGAGCGGCCAGGAAGGTTCTTGATCTCGGTGGCTTCCTCAGAGATGAGCACGTCCGGTGGACATTTTCCCATGTTGTCTCCAATGCACATGATGCGGCAACCTGCCCAGGGACCGGTCAAAAGTTCCATGACATCGATGAATCTGCGGGAAAAGACTTCACCCAGTTTGCCCCAGCCAAGGAACTGTTCGTGTCTGTCAATATTGACGAGTTTCCAGTATTGACCCATAGCGATCGAGAGTGGGACTCTAGTGAGAAAAAGGTGATGGTGGAAAGAAAGAAAGAGGACGTTATCGTTTCGTGTTGTTTGGTCGGCAACACGCTCTCGCGATCCAGCCCGATTTCTCGCGTCTGGTCAGCCACCACCCAACTGACAAGCTAGGTATATGCCGTCTTCTGCCACCCTTGGCCGGTGACCGGTGACTGATCATCACCTCTCTCTTCACGGACGTTCCCTGCCGTTCTCTGCTCCAACCCCCTTCCGCATCGCATCGTACCCAGCCACATCCCCTCGGGGTGGACGTACCACCTCGAGCACCCCGCGCTCGCCGTGACGTCACTCTTCTAAGCATGGTCCTTCCCGCAAGCGCCCCTCTCCGCATACACACGTCTTTCCTCCTGTGTGCAGCCTCGTCCATCCTTGCATTCCGAGTCCTATGTATATAGGATACTCGGTCATTATGCTGTCCTGAAGGATGCGTGGAAAATCTATTTGGGGTATCAATTCATCACGGAATTTGCCGGCCTGGCTACCTCAGAGTACCGTGGGAATAATTCTATTCGTTGACGGCCTTTGCCGAACGGTCTGTCTACCTGACGCTGTCTGTTCGTCTTGTCGCCGTCATGTTCTGTTGCGGTTTGACTATCTCTTTCTTTTCCCCTCGTTTCATTCCCTCTTCTCCCTGTTTCTGTTTTCTGTGGACATTCTCAGTGTCTCTGTCTCCGTCATTCTACGTCCAAACTTCTTTTATGAACAGGTGCAGGAACTGTATGATGCTATAGCAAAACCAGGTCAGCTTTGGCGAGCACAGATGTCGGGAGCTACCAGTCGAAATGGCACTTTGGAGTAGCTGCTTGAAGAGCAATAAATCAGACGGCGTCGATGGGATTGGCGGTGAGTATCGCTTCGGCCAGTACGCCTTCACCTGCTAAGTTACAGCTAACAGTTGGCTAACAGCGACCCTCAGCCCGATAACTTTCTTCTCTTACCACTACTGCTCTACTCGGAAATTCAGAAGACAAACACGAAGATATTGCAAGCGCGCCCTTCTTCACCAAGGATCGCCTGACATTATCTTCTCGTCGCGAATTCCTCTTCTTCGCAACTCAGGCGTCGCACAAGGTGGGGCGCTATGGTCAGGGTAGTTGGTCAGTACCCGTATCATTCAACAGCCTTCTCGGTTCATTTTTGACTCATACACCCCCAGAATCCAAAGGCGTACTAGACGAATATCTCTACCATCGTTCGCTAAATTCTTCTGAAATGGTCCGCATCTCCTTCGTAAAAATACCGCCCCAGAGCTACATTCCTTTGGTAGCAGAACCGCTGCAAATCGAGCATACCCACCCTCACCAACTACCCATTCGCGAATCCTCTCGCAATGAACGTAGCCTTTTATCAAGAAGAATTTGGATTCTCTGCCAAAAGTCTTAAAAAACTCCGAAGGTCGTACATCGACATCCTATACGTTCACTGGTGGGACTACGAGACGTCAATTCCAAAAGTCATGGACAGCCTTCAGATCTAATCTCGTCGCAGCGCGGAGGGTTCTCGACCTCGAGATCTCTGATACCCCCGCATGGGTCGTCTCTCATGCCAACCAATATGCCATGGACCAGGGCAAGACATCGTTCATCATCTATCAAAGTAAATGGAGCATCTTGGAGCGCTTGATCATTTCCATGGCGAAATCTCTAGGCATGGCGCTCTCTCCATAGAGAAGGGACGTACGGCGAGGGGCCCGAATTGGGAACGCACAGAGGTGGACGTGAGGGTGTCTGGGGCATTGGAGAAGGTAGCGACTGAGGTTGCTGTAGGGATCAATGTCACCGCGGGTGAGTTGGAATTATCTTCATTCATGACTTGAATTTCTGACGAGTGTGTGGGTAGTTGCGATCGCATACGTGATGCAGAGGGCACCGTATGTTTTCCCAATCATCGGAGGCCGGAAAGTAGAACACCTTCAGGCGAACTTAGCGGCGCTGGTACATTTCGTTGTTGAAGGATCAGATCGAGTACCTGGAAAGCATCATGCCTTTCGATTCTGGGTACAACGATGATTGTGAGCTTTGGTTTACCCAATTTTTTTTGGTATTTTGATCAGATGAGCAATGTAGGGCGACGGGACCAGCCATAATATATTCCTTGCCTGACCGCGAAGATGGCGAAGCAGCCCGCTTTGCAGCCTATCATGCCCTGACTGAATGTAACTCCGATTCTAACGAGTTACAGGTATCTTGCAGCTAAACGAATCGATTGTATCTAGTTTTTTAATTCAAAAAATACATAGGACTTGGACCTGCCACGCGGATGCGCTGGCCCTCTTCAACTAGTTACTCTTTCCCACATGCGTGTCTGCACTTTCGCCTGCGCCCCTTTACGACAAACTATACCTATATTTGCGCCAGTGGCATCTCGGTTGTTGTCTGCAACTGCCCCCACAACGCATTAGCGTGAAGGGATAATACACCATTAGGCACGCACCTAGAACATCGATACCACTGAAATCTAAGTTGCTATGATTATCGAGTGGGCCAGAAAAAGAATTCATTAGTGAGGTCGGAGGAAAACTAAGTGCTGCAAGTTACTATAGCTGAAAACAAAAAAAAAGTTTGCAAGCGAGTAAGCCAGAGCTTACCTTTATTCGAGTGCACGGTCACTGTTTTTCCATCACCGGGTAGTCTATGTCATGCTGAATTCCGGTGACCTATGCATGCAAAGCCGTGAACTCCTTGTCACGAGTATTAGGATCCAACACTGTGCCAAGTCAGCACGTTTCGCTACCATCGTTGTCACGGCAAGGCCCTGTAAAATTAAATAAGCGTGTCAATGATGGCACAAGCGACGAAAAAAGCTTGCTTACCAGAGACATCTTACATGCTTTCAATACTTAAACCAGAAGCCAAGCTCTAATCCTGACCTGTTCCGTCGTATGTTGGCTAGAGCCGGAACTACGGATGTAGCAAAGCAACGACATACCTTGTGCATCGTAGAGTTCCCCGAAGAGCTAAGGAAAGACGTCGGAAAATGTGACTATAAGCAGCTTATCGTTGCATACTGTTAGCCCAATAAAATAAAGGCAGGTTATCATGAAGACCGGCATTGAAATATTGACCCAACAGCCACTTAACTCTTAAAATGGCCAAAAAAAAAAATCATGTATTAATATAAAAACGCAAAGGAATGATAACTACACGGAAAAAGCTGACTTTTGAACACCGTAAAGGGCTTTGGGATATCTGTATAACATTAGAATCATAAAAATATACACGGAAACAACAGAGCTCACTTTTGTTGACATTGTGTTTGATAGTGTTGTCATAGTCAAAATCAGAGCAAAATAATAATAATAATCAGCCGTCGCACGCGAAGGTCTCCAGAAGGATATCACGTTAATGGCGCGAAGAGGACACAAAAGGGAGAATTAAAAAGATGCTGAAGAGACAGGCTGGGAGAATTAAATTTGATTACAATTTACAACAGCCTGTTCCCCAGCCCGATTCAGGATCTATCAGCGACTGAGAGCAAACCTAGTCAACTTGACTTGATCTTCCGTCACATCCTCCCATTCTTCCTCTTCGTCCTCCACCGAACTCAGCGGCACAACATCGAACCTATCTCCTGCCCAAGCACCTCTCGTGAGATCCAACGTCATCGAACACGACGAGTCGTCAGACCAACAAATGTTTGTCAGTAGGATGTTCCCAATATCGCCACCTCTACCACTTCTCTTCAGTTCTTCGATCACTACATCTCGGCAAACATAGACGCGCTTCGTCAGATTCCTCAAAACCATTCCTCGTAAGTCGACGCTTCCTCGAGACCTTATCCTCCTATAGTACAGGCCCGAGAACGTGTATAGCGTCGGCATTTCGGAATCATCACAGTCCGAGTTGTCCAAGTCATTGATCTCAGCGGCTTCTTCAGAGGTGAGGACGCTCAGTGGGCATTGTCCCATATAGTCACCGATGCAGATGACACGGCAACCTGCCCAGGAGCCCGCCAAAAGTGACATGATATCGTTGAAGTCGTCGGAAAAGACTTCACCCAGCGTCCCATAGTCACCGCCGACTTCGCGTCTGTCGATATTGACGAGTCTCCAGTATTGGCCCATTGGTGAGTAATCGAGGGCGAGGTTCAAAGTGATCGTGGAAAAGAAAAAAAGAAAGGAAACCGCAGGTTGTTGTCTGGTGTTGTTTGGTCATCAACACGATCTCGTGATCCGGGCTCGTGTTTTTCTCGCATCTGATCAACCACCATCCCACTGGGAAAGGTAGGCTTTCGGGTAGAAATGTGCGCTGATAACTCCCAGATACACATACCTTCTCCTGCCACCGCCACTTTGTGGGCCTATCAGGTACTGATAATACTCGGTGGCAACAGTGTTTCAATGGTGATCCGATTTGTTTCTTCGCAAGTGCAACAATAACAAGCTTTTTGTTGATAAATCTGTGCACACAGAGTCGCATGTACTTGGTAACTTAATGCCATAGCGACATCTATGCCTATGAACTCCGGGATTAGGTGCTAGAGTACACAGGTATGTGGTCCACCTTTCCTGTACGATGTAAGCTAATACACAGTACACCTTGCCTCATAACAGACATCAGCAATGTTTTTATTACTGTTCCTGGTGAATACTTTGCACCATCAGTAGCTCACGGTGTACTTTTGAATTATTTGTATACTCCCCGCACATCCTTCAGGCTTACCTAGCTGAGAGCTCATCCATCGGTGCACTTGGCCCATCAATAGTACCTGAGGTACACTGGCCTCACTTCATCTGATTAACATATTCGTAGAAGCTCCTCTGACATTGGTGTTCCACTCCTTACTGGACAGTGGACACACGTCGGTCGTTGCATAGTGTTTGCTTGCTTGCTTGCTTTCTCAGTGCCTTTGCCGATAGCAAGTATTCAATCTCCGTGTCTCCTACCCTGCACCCAACTTAAGCGTGGTATTACTTTGCCTTTTGACGGTACCGATTCCTCCAGGGTTTGATTCTCCAATCGGGCTCAGTTCCAGAGTCGCCTCAACTCTGTGAGTTTCAATCAATGAGGTCAAGGATCTTCTGCTTCTTTGCTAAGTGTTTACTTTCCAGTCATGGAGAATTATATTGGATTGTCACTTTTTCTCCTCCGCAAGGCGTACAATGGTTGGCATTCTCTACAGTGAAGTTCGACATAAACCACCTCGCTCAAGGCGATCAGCAGCTAAGAGTAAATCTGGTAAGTTTGACCTGATCTTCCGTCACGTCCTCCCAATCCTCCTCATCGTTCTCCACTGAGCTCAGTGGTACAACATCAAACCTATCCCCTGCCCAGCCCCCTCGCGAAAGATCCACCGGCATTGCACTCGACGGGTCATCAGACCAACAAATGTTCATGAGTAAGACGTTGCCAATATCGCCACCTCTACCACTTCTCTTCAGCTCTTCGACCACCACATCCTGCCGGACTTAGACATGCTTCGTCAAATTCCTCAGAACCATTCCTTGTAGATTGATGCGCGTTCGATATTTTATTCGTGCGTAGTAATGGGACGCGAACCTATACAACGTCTTCCCAGTCGGATAGTCATCCGAGTATCCAGGACACTGCTTGATCTTTGCCATTTCTTCAGAGGTGAGGACGCCCGGTGGACATTCTCCCATATAGTCTCCTATACACATGATACGGCACCCCCGCCCAGGAGCCTGCCAAAAGGGATATGATCTCAGTGAAGTGACAGCGAAAGATTTCGCCTATTTTTCCCAAGTCCCCAAGATGTTGGCGTCTGTCGATATTGACAAATCTCCATGCTTGACCCATAGTTGTAGGTGATGGAGATTCGAGAGGAGTTGCTGTTTCGTGTTTGGTAGTTCAGTGGCACGGTCTCATGACATTGATCGGAGGTTCTGCTTAGTATTTTTCTCGCGTTTACTCGACTACGCCTGGTTCTGATCCTGACAAAAAGTATCATTTACCTTCGGATATTCATTAATTCTGGTGGTGGATAACACTTGTCAGTGTCAGGGTAAAGAAAGGGGCTACGAGCCTCGTGTCTGGCATCACTTTCACGACCCTGCGAGGAAGACCTGCTCTCGATTTCTCTGTTGTCTTGGGCATTGATAACCAAAGGTGCTAAGGAACGAACTGCAGAATGTCGTACTTGATCCCTTGACGTGATCTCGGGCTTGCATTTTGCTCCCGTCCTAAAATTATTTTGTCCTTTCACGATTTCACATCATGGTCGATGATGGTACTCAGATCTGGATAATCGAGACCCCTTTTATCATGGCAGTGCGTCTAGAAAATGAAGAAGGGGTATACTAGTATATTTAACTCACGCTCAATAATATTTCTAAGACTTCGACCGTTACCAGGCAAATTTCTTCGTGACGCCGACTCGGACACCAGCTTTCTCGAGTGGTCACTTCGTGATTTCGGATCCTCGTCCCTGATGTGTTCGAACCTTATCTGTGAAGCTAACCCGATTCTGATCCGTGCACATGCATCGGAACTTGACTTTGCATTCGAATTTGATCACTGCCACCACTCCGGCGAGGCAAGCGAGTATCCTGGGTTTTCCGCCCTTTGCACTCGGTTCTTCCATGCATAAAATGCCTACATTCTACTCTTTATGGCGTCTAAGAAAATATACAAACCCTACTTTCAAGAGAGGGAATGGCCAAATGCATCTAACGGTTGCATAGCCATAGGGAAATAAACAGAACTAGGGTAGGATGTTCAGCCCTGTCTTCTACCCAATCAAACCTCGCTTCACAGTAACAATCTTGGAAACCTTATCCCCGATTTGTCTTTAAACGGTGACAATCCTGATTCTTTGTCTGAACAATCGGCCACTCCCGTAGAGATGGTAGGCGATCAAGATTCAGCATTAGACGGGGACCAGGGCAAATCGAGGGAATATTTTCGACTCGGATTCTCGGATTTTAAAGTCTTTCTTCAACTTGAATCGTTGCAAGAAAGTCCACCTTCGATTTCGCAGTCATGGTGGTTCGTCTATCTCTCTCTTTCCTTTTATCTGATTTATTCACTTGCCCTTCACTTTTATCCTTCAGCGCGGAGTTCCTCCTCGTATTCCTCTGAGATACAAATGTATTCTCTACGGTACGGGTTGCAAGTGGTCGTTCAACCGAAGCTATGACTGCCATAGGCATGAAAGACAACACCTAGAGGGAGATGCTCGGGTAGAACAGTAAGTCATATTTTTGAAAGCCTCTAGACCATACTCTGGAGTCTGACGAGCTCCCATACAGTCTGCATTACTGTCCTCTCGGCACCGGCTGCCCTTTGGACTTCAAAAATCTCCAATTAGGCAACCTTCGCA